TATATACACACACACACACACACATACATACACACACACATACATACACGCGCACAAAATATAATAGGGCTGTAATTTTTGTTGTTTGTTTTTGAAAGAAGTCTCTTATGCTCACTGAATGCGTCATTAAATATTTGGTGTCTTGCTGAGGAAAAGTCATAATTAAAAAAAATAAAAAAATAATAATAATCTTACTAAACCTAAACTTTTAAACCGAGAAATTAAGTTACAGTTACTACAATTAGAAATAAAAATTAAACTTAAATGATAAAATTAAAACGTTTAATTGTCTTTAAAATCTGAAAAAATAAACTCAAGACAGAAAATTTATATTTTCAATAAACTTTATTATCCCCCCACTCTCCCAATACATAAAAAGTGATCATACTGAACATTTCCCAGTGTTGACGCCGTACAATTATGTTACATCAATAAATAAAAAACTATAAATAAAATAAATAGAACACGTGCCACAATTAATTAATAATACTAGTTAGGATTTGTCTGAGGGTAATGGCTCTCACAATGTTGGTATTCTGAACACCTATTTAACACTTACAGCCATGGTCACAGTTTTGAGGACATTATGATTACTTATGATGGAGCATGTCAAGTAAACAAAGCTGGAGGCACACTAGTCTTTTTTTCCTCAAGTACAGACATTAAGGATATAATAACTTTTAACAGCAAAAAGCTTATATCAGGTGTATTTGTAGTGTTTCTTCCCCCCACTCCTGCCTAATTCGCTTGGAAAACCGAATATGAAGACTCTATATAAAGCCCCTTTCATTCCCTTTGTGACTTAAGCTTGAGATCCAGGGCCATTATTGCACAGAGGAATCCATCAGAAAGGCACTTTAGTCTCTCCCAATCCGAACTGCTCCTCCATGAATTACAGTTCCACCTCAGCCATTCGCCTCTGCCATCTTTAAAAGTAATCTCATTAAAAGAATAACCATTTGGTGTTCGTAGCTCTTCTTGTTTGTGTACTATTTAGTGAAATAAAACGTCCTCTTTTTAAAAAAAAGCCAAGTGATCGAGCATAAAAAGCCAAGCCCATCTTGCGCAGTGTTTGGGACACCGCGAGCAAAAGCAAGACGCTTAAGAACCCTGTGAGTTTTATGCCATCTACACTTCAGTCCAGCTAAAATAATGAAATCATAAAAAGAACAGGCTCAAATTTTGGTTGTGCACACTGTGAGTCAAGCTGGTAGTGTGATACGGTTGGTCGCAAAAACAACTAAAGAAAACCAAACGAAAAATAGTGCACCATAGTTCAAAGAGGCCAGCCGATGACCAAGGACAGGAGATCTTCGTGGCAACGTGGAAGCTTCCCTCGATTTTTTTCTTTGTCATAGTCCTTTTTTGCTTCTCAAACGGAAGCGGTAAGCAGCAAATTGTAATCGAAGTTCTTAGTCATTATGCATTGGTGTAGTGCTGGAGAAGCTGTACCACGTAATGAAGCCGCTGCCGGAGCTCCGGAGAGCAGCCCCATTGGGAAAGCACGTTCAGAGGGTAGGAATAAGAGACGCGCTCCTTGCTGATGTAGGTCAGCAGGTACGAGGAGTCTGAGGTCTTGGACAGGATGATTTTTGTATGGTCTGTGTAAAAATTAACCTGGGAAAGAAACGGAAAGAGAGGGAATGTTATGAACTGGCCAAGCAATTCAAATGCTCAATGTTTCATCCTTTTTTTGCACAATCAAGAGACTTACCTGTAGGGTTCGGTTGTCAAAGAGCATGACTAAGGCGTGATCAGTCTTGATCCACTGCAGAAGCAATGGAGAAGAGCTTGGAGGTGGCTGGGCCTCACAGTTGACGTCTCCACCCTACAAAAATGAAAACTTGTTTTAAAATAAACCATAAAACTTAAGAAATGGTTTTATTTTTGTACATATTTATGATTTATTTATTAGGTAAATATTTACATTAAAATCTAAATAATAGAAATGAATAAAATATATTTAATTTTTTATAGAATTTAACTTGATAAAGATTAGTGCTGAACTTTAGTTTAGTTTATATTTGAGAAAATAAACGATTTAAAATATTACCATTAAAAAATGTTATTTATGATTTATTTATTATTATGTAAATATTTAAATGAAAATATAAATAATATAAATAAATAAAATATATTTACATTTTTAAAATAGAATTTAACTTGATAAAGGTTAGTGCTGAACTTTAGTTTAGTTTATATTTTAGAAAATAAACTATTTAAAATATTACCACTAAAAATTGTTATTTAATAGAGAATCACATAATTCAAATGTGAATCTGGACCACAAAACCAGTCGCAAGTCGCACAGGTACGTTTGTAGCAATAGCCAACATGTTATGGGTCAAAATTATCGATTTTTCTTTTATGCCAAAAATCATTAGGATATTAAGTAAAGATCATGTTCCATAAAGACACTGGTAAATATATCAAAACGTAATTTTTGATTGGTAATATGCGTTGCTAAGGACTTCATTTGGACAACTTCATTTTCTCAATATTTAGATTTTTTTGCACCCTCAGATTACAGATTTTCAAATAGTTGTCCTACCCTAACAAACTATACATCAATGGAAAGCTTATTTATATTCAGCTTTCAGATGATGTATAAATCTCAATTTAAAAAAATTGACCCTCATGACTGGTTATGTGGTCGAGGGTCACAAATGTTTAAATTCTATATTTGAGGGCTAATTTCTACACTTACCTCCATTAGGTTCTGCTCCATGTAGTTAGCCATCAAATCCACTATGTGCTTTTGATTCTGGAGCTTTTCTGGTAAAGCGTCAGCTGGAAAACTAAAGTGTTTGTTGTTCGTCAGACAGTAATGTATAGTCCTGCGGAAGAATAAAAATAAGCAATTAGAACATCACACATAAAGCAAAGCTACTTAAAACAATTTGGTCAAAAGCAAAGACTTTGTAAAGGGTAAAGCACTCTATGTGGGTCAATCAGAGCTCAGTCCAAATGCCAAACTGGAGACTCATTAGCGAACGGGAACACAGAAAGTAAGCGGACGTACCTCCGCTGGTCACACAGGCTCAGATGAGTGCCTTCGTTGAAGAGTACACCGACGTTTTGATTGGAGAGCTGGTAACCGAAGCCGTATTTGTTAGAGTAGTCGACCCACTTGGTTACCCAGATGAAAGGCTTGATTTTAGAAAGGCAGGGTGGGTTTCTTGAAGCTGGAAGAGGAAAGGACAATATTTGTGTACATGATCGATGGCTTAAGAGTAAACCTTGAAAAAGACCATTGCTTAAGTGCCACAGTGTTACCAGAGTGTGGGAACAAACCTGTCGGCATGGAAGACAAGCAGCTGTTAAGAACCTTCATGGCAGATTCGGCCACAGCAGCAGGGGTAGGGATATCGTCACTAGCTGAGGAGGGGGAAAAAAACAAAAAGAACAAAGTCAAATGAAAGTGATTTAATTACTTGGAAAAAAAAAATATATATATATATACACACACACATTTAATATTAGTGTGTCTTGGTTATATTATATTATAGACAACAGTTGTTCTGCTTAATATTTTTGTAGAAAACCATGACCCTAAACTTGATTCATAGTGTAAATGTAAAAAGGTAGACAAATCTATGAAGGTTAGAAATGACAAGTCACCTTGCTGCTAAACTAAGCAAAAAAATAAAAATGAATTGGGCCAGGATGCTTTTGGACAAACTTGTTCCTAATAGCGGCCTCTGAAAGCCTGGGGGTTGAGCCTAAAATAGGCCACATGCATGCAAAACTATTTGCTGCTGTATGTCTGAGCAAATTCGCTTCTACGTTCCCTTACCATCAGTGCTGCTGGCGACGGTGCCTTTGAAGGAACGAGATGCAGACTTCCTGGACTCCTCCTCTGCCGGGGTGTCCAGGGGGCCAGAGCTTGCCAGTTGAACCGTAGGAGAAGTGGCCTGAGTATCAAGAGGAAGTCATATTGTTTTAACAATCATAAGTACTTCCTTGTACTCAGTTAAGCAATTATTATCATGCACAGTGGACAATTATTTTCCAATCTCGTGTCTCAAGCTTAAAAGATCTATTTGTCATGTGATTAACTCGGCGACTTGTGTGGGTTTGGTTTTGCAATTTTGGGTTTGGTCAGTACAGAGTTATTCTGAGACGTTCAGCACAATAGCTGGACGATTGCACTCTATTATTCATCTACAGCAGCTTTCAAAACGCGTCCCCACAGAGCCCACTTTAGCCATGCTGAAAAACAGCATGCATACTGACGCGGCTTTCTGCGACAGCCATGAGTCAGCCGGGGAGTAAAAGTTTACGGCGAAGCTATTAATACATGCCAATGCACATAAATGTAAGATGAATTATTACCTCATTCACTCCCATTGTCTTGTAGCTCATTTGCCGACCGATGGAGTGCTTCACCATGCCGGAAACCAGTTTAGAAATGTCATCTTTGTCCTCACAAGGTGTCTTTTCAACAGCTGCAACGACATTTTATGTCAATAACAAAGAAACCAATGTCAGAAACTAAGGTTTGAATCCAAACCAAAGGTGTTTTTGTCAACTAAAATAATTTTGGTAATTAAAGTAGGTACATACCTTTCGATTTCTTCTTGCCAAAGAGGCTTTTAGCCATCTTGGTGAAGAACTTCTTGGCAGGGCTGGGTGGATTAAGCTCAGGCACCATCACACAGCTGCTGGGAGGGAGTTTTTCTGGGGTGAAGCCCTGAGGGAGGGAAAAAGTAGGTGGATTTAAGAAAAAAAAAAAAAGATTAGAGGACTACAAAATTACAGTAAGAAACTGTCTAAGGAGGAAGTACACACTTAAAAAAAATCTTTATAATTACGTTAAAAGGAAAAGGCGAACGACTACTCAGGGCTATTAGTACGCTAACCTTTGTGAAATACTCGTGGGCCAGTATCTGATCCAGTGTAAGGCGGTCAGACGGGTTTTTCTGAAGGATTGCGGAGATCAGCTTCTGTGCAGATGGAGTGAGGGAAGGAGGAAGGCTGTATCTCACTTCCTTAATACACTTGTAGGTCTCTTTCAAGTCTAAGGTTTCAAAAGGTGGATTCCCACAAAGGAGTGTGTACCTAAATAGACAAGAAAAAGAGCTTGTCATCAAGGCTGTCAGATCTGATGCAGCATAAATCAAGTATTTACTATGGACTTTTCATAATATAAATACATTAATATAATATATTAATCTACACCAGGAAGTCCCAATCTTTTGTTTGTCAGATGAACCCCTTTGCTCTAAAACATGTACTTGAAATATAAACTTGATGTTCGGGGTTTTCTGATGATGGTTAATGGTCACATGACATGCATGTAAACAAAATCTTGAATATTTTTAGAAAGCATTTTATTTTTAAATGAGGATTTATAATTTAATCATTAGCCTTTCATGAACTTGCAAACCACAGTTTGGGAAACCCTGGTCTACACAATAACCATAAAACAGTGTAGAGTAGACTTGATAAGACTTACACTACACAACCCAGCGACCAAACATCTGACTCTGTCCCATGGCCTTGTCTGTTTAAGACCTCTGGTGCTAGGTAGTTTGGAGTCCCGCAGATGGTCCTGCAAGAGCATTTTTTACATCAGCACACCAAATCAAGTTTATTTCTATTTAAGCTACTGAAGAAGACGGCATGCAAACTCACTTCTTCCTCTGCTCGACTGTCTCCAGCTTTGCTGCCAGCCCAAAATCTCCCAATCTCAAGTCCATGTTTTCATTCACAAAAAAATTACCTGCAAAAACAAATTAGAGCATTATCAAACCAATTGAACTTGATGGATGTCATACTGTGATTCAAACAGCAGGTTAAACAAACAAAAACAATACCTAGTTTGAGGTCTCTGTGGAGGATGCCTTTGTTGTGGAGGTATTTGAGCGAAGATATGATCTGTTTGAGGTAGTAACGTACTTCTGGATCTGTCAGCGTATGTCTTGCTTTCCAAATGTGTGCCAGAGACTGTAAACACGAAGCACAGGATTAGAGTAAATGCCTTGTATTCACCAAAGCAAACCATGAGAGCTCTGTTTTTAGCAAAGCAACTCACCTTTCTGCTGCAGAGTTCAAGGAAGATGTAAATGTTGTCTTGGTCCTCAAAGTGATGGGAAAACTTCACCACATGCTTGTGTTGGAGGCTTTTGTGAAGCTCGATTTCATTAATGATCTACGAGACAAAATCATTGAATAAACATTAGAGAGGCAGCTAGAAATATGCTGATTCACAATAGCCTAATTTTGGCTATTGTTTGTTTACCTTCTCTCTCTGGTGTGGCTTTGAGACTCTGCTTTGAGGAATAACTTTCACAGCATACATCTTGTTGTTGGCAAGATCCGTCATCTCATAACATCGTGCAAAACCACCCTAAAACAAAAGCCATTATATATTTAGTCACAGAATGTTTCAACAGGAAAAAATGCTGCCGTTTCAATTCAAGGTTATGATCAACTTAAGATTTGGCTGCAGGTGCCTGTACAACGGTCTCAAAACTCAATGACTGTGTCTGAAAAACTGGCTAGTTGCTTACAAAGACAACATATTTGGAGATTACCAGTGTGTTTAACGTTTGATTCATACGTTTTCAGCATCACTAATGTCAAGAATGCAGTATGGAGTCCAGAGACCGTCAATATGTCCAGACCAGTATTTGCAATCTGGAATTGATTTATGGGCATTTTTACCCTTTGCGCCTTATAAAAACAGTGTCTTCCATTTTGCAAATGCTTCAACTGAAAAAAAAAGGCTATTATCTCTAAAATCAAATCAGGCACCACAGATTTTTTTTTTAATTAGAAAACGTTTTAAACGATCTACCATTAACTAAGTTTTGCAGCTGTTGGTAGTTGCTTTTTTTCTTTTCTTTTTGAGATTACCATTTATCGGTTGACCCCATATCGGTCACATCTGATGCATCATAATGATGTAAAAAAAACAAAAAAAAAAAACATTAATTTGACCTCTTAAAAAAAAAAAAAAGGCAAATTCTACGTTTACTAGTTGATTCGTTCAACAAATTCTATGTTTGATTTTTTAGAACATACATCGATATCTTTCTCTCGTTTAAAAAAAAACAAAAAAAAACACACATTATTTTGGGCATTTTTGCACCAATCCTTAGTTGGTCCAACACATGTACAAAGGAATGACGTATTCTTTTCCCAAATGACGAACCGCTCCTTACAGCATCGCACAATGATGCGGCACTTTAAAAACTGGGATTAACAAGCCTTCTAATAATCAATAGTCTAATTTAAAAAAAGCCTTGTTTTGTAAACAAGTGAACAAAACCGGGACAGTGGTCTTTGGTTCCACTGCTCACGAGCAATGTAGCTTCATTTTCATTGATGCACGGATTCATTCATCCATTCATCTTTTCCTGACATCAAATCAAATCTGGAAACGTATTAAAAATCCTCCCAATTGTAAACTGCAAGTACTGTCTATGCAGAAAATCACATAATGGACAATATTTGTAAGACATAAGATGCAGTGCTGGAAAAACCGGCAGGCAGGTTCTAGAAACGCAGACACTGCGGTCCAGTGGTTCTGGTGCACCGAAGCACATCTCCCAAAACCAGCCAAACCCAAGCACGAGACCGATATACTGCGCACCGTGCACATTTAAGCTCATTAGGAAATGCGATAAAATAAACCGTGACAAATCACATAAATAATTAAAATGACCAGCTCCGATTTATTTCAAACACCGGAAGACAGATTGGTACCTTTCCCAAAAGCTTTCCTTTACAGTACGATCTTCCAGTCTTTGCGTCAACCACCACCTGCGCGATCTCCGGCTTAACGTGCTCGGATTTACTCCGGTTCGGCTTGGCGGCCGCTTGAGACGGTTTGAACAAATCCGGATTCATCATTTTGCAAGAAAGACGCTGCGCTGAGGTAAAACAAGCAGGATCCATTCATTAACATAGATCCTTCGCCCTAGAAAATAAACTCCTTATGTGAAGTCCCAAAGTCTGGCGAAGTCCTGCAACGTTAATCCTGTGCGACTCAAACATGCCGCGCCACCGGAGTCCTGCCGTATATAAACGGTCCGTGACGTCATGGGCAGAGGCGGGGCGACAGACGGGGACGTCTGGAAAGAAACAACGCCATTGGCTGCTGGAGATTCAATCAAAGATCAGAGGGACGCATATGAAAGTGCTGTAGAAAGTGAATGAAAACCTAAGAACATCATCCAATCATAGTTGACGTGATTATATGGACCTCCGGATGACTTGCACTGGCTGCTTAATTAACAGTGTTTCTTTTTTCCTCTGTTTAGGGTTTTTGTATAATGTGAACATTTATTTAGCATTATCAAAGCAGATTTTATGTCGTACTGTGTAAAAACAAAATATACAAATGGCCGCCACGAGTTTTACGTATACAATTGCATAAACACAGACTGTATTTACATCATGTGGATAAAGAAAAAAATGACATCATTGTGGAACATACAGCTGTACAGAACTGAAAGAGAAACTTGTGGTTTCATGCGCCCCCTTGTGGCTGAATTAATAAACTACGGAGACTTTTCCCCCCCTTTTTGAACAAAATGTTCCCTAGATTAGAAAATATAATGTAATGTAACTATAATTGACAAACACTGATTCACAGTTTAGTTTAGTTCCATTCATACATCTGAATAACAATGCATCACAGCAATATTTCATTGAATGAACATGGGTGTTATAAATAAATAAATACATAAAAAAATAAGTTCAGAAGTGCTTTTTTACGTTTTCTTTTTATTTATCACTCTTAAGTTATATGGTCCTAATTACTAGAATAATATTACAATAAACATAGAACTAATGATTTTCAATGATTTTACCACAATAGATATACAAAAAACTCCTTGTGGTTTGATAAATAAACTACAGTTATTATTATTATATTATGTTATTTATTAATAAATAAATAAAATAAATGAGAATTGATCAATTGCAGTAGTAATAGAAATATTGCATGACAGCAATATTTTTTTTTTTTGAGGACCACAAGCAATGAGCATTTTTTCTTTTTCTTTATCTTTTTAAAGGTATGTAGTACTAATTGCAACAATAATATCGACTACAGTAAGCCACGTTTCCATAAATTTACCACAATAAATATCATAAACTTATGCACATCCTGTTTGCATGCACCTCCTTGTGGCTTGATGGGTAAACTACAGCGACTAATTATTGTACATAAAAGCACATTTATGTGTACAATTATGTTATCTAAAAAAAGATTTTGAGACTGTATTAAAATTCTAATTAACAAACACTGTTTTCTTTTATATCCACAGTTCATTTAGTTTAGATACTCTGTTTTCTCTCCATGATGATGAGAGTAATATTACATGACAGCAACATTTAATTTCATGACCACCAGAAGCAATAAATTACTTTTTAAATTTATTTTCATTTTCCACATTTAAGGTACATGGTCTTAAGTGCAATAACATTAACTGAACATTTCCTGAACATCTGTTTACCATAACCTTGTTTACCATATGGAACAACTTAAAATTATGAATGCTGTGAAAATTACAGTGGAAATGGGAACACTTACGAAACAAAACTTTCAGCAACAGCTGCATTTAACAGGAAAAAAAAGTACAAAAATACATAAAATGATCTGAATAAATTGGAATGGCATGCATGCAGCAGCTGAATTTGGGTGTTTCACTGTGAAAGCAGACCAATAAGCTGGCTTAGAAGTCAAAGTCATCTGCTTTGGCCTTCTTCTCCTGAGACTCAACCCAGGCCTTGTTGATAGTGCGCTTCATCTCGTCATTTCCATCCGTGTAGATCTTCTTCAGCACGCTCATCAGCCCCTCGCTTGGATCAGCGTTCTCATCCAAGTTGGGTTTGCTGAAACAGACAGATTACCATTCAATTACCATTTATGACTTGTAAACATAATTTGAAGAACCAAATTTAGTATGATACTTATTACTATGATGTTACCCTGATAATAGTGCATTATGCAGTCAAATATATATACAGGTGCATCTCAATAAATTAGAATGTCGTGGAAAAGTTGAGTTTCACAATTTGAGTTGAATTACTGAAATAAATGAACTTTTCCACGACATTCTAATTTATTGAGATGCACCTGTGTATATACTTATATATATATATATTTAATAATTATATACTTTTATAATATATACTAATATACTTTTTATAATAGTTTGAATAATATTAATTTACATTTATAATTTTTAAATTTATATTTTCCTTTTATGCATCTGCACCATTTGATTTAAAATTTGCTTCAATATATGAATTTTAAAAAGTAAAACCAATACAGAATGAAATTGTGTGCATTTTACTCACTCTTTCTCCTTAGACTGTTTTTCTACTTGTGTCAAGCAGTCCCACTTTTTTGTTGACTTCTTCTTGCACATAACAAGCACCATGTCTGTTTTTATCTGTAAACAAATAAATGAATTTTACAATTGCCTCTTTATCTATACAATTTTATTCATAAAACAAATCAATTTGCTAATATACAAAAACAAAGAAAATGACAAACCTTTTTACTACTCTCTGCTACAATAATGGGAAATAAAAGGTTGTTGACTGTCATCTGATGGTTCTTCCCATCCAGATCTTTGACTAGAACATTGAAGCCTCTGTGAAGACAGAATAGCAGAATATATATATATATATATACACACACGGTGGCATGTGAAAGTTTGGGAACCCCTTGCAGAATCTGTGAAAATGTGAATAATTTTAACAAAATAAGAGGGTAAAATAGTATGCATTAAGAGCCGGGGGTGAAAACTTTTTAACAGGATGAAGATGTCCAAAATATATAAATATCTTTTTTTTTCCCCATTTAGTACTGCCCTTCGGAAGCAACAGAAGATACTTGCATGTTTCCCGGAAGACAAATTAAGTACAATTTACCTTGATCTTCAAATTCAAAAAGTTTTCACCCCCGGCTCTTAATGCATCATGTTTGCTTCTGGAGCATCAGTGAACGTTTGAACCTTTTTTTAATAGTTGTGTTTGAGTCCCTCAATTGTCCTCAGTGTAAAAAAGATGGATCTCAAAATCATACAGTCACTGCTGGAAAGGGTTCAAATACACAAGAATGCTGGAAAACCAAAGAATTTGTGGGAGCTGAAGGATTTTTCTGAAGAACAGCA